TTTTTTTTTTTTTTTTTTTTTTTTTTGGTACCAGGGATCAAACTCAGGACCTTGTGCTCATAATGTGGATGGCAGCATCACTGAGCTAAATCCTGGCCCTTCTACTCCCTTTCAAAGTAAGATTTATGTGTGTGCCTTCACTTCCCTATGTCTGTACTCCTTTTCTTGCAGGTAGTGAATGTTAGTGCTTGCTGGTGGCCATCAGATTTTTTAAAAAGATCTCATGTAGGGCTGGGGATTTACATATATATATATCTATGTATATATCTATATATATCTATATATCTATATCTATATCTATATATATATCTGATCCAGAGCTGCCACATATAGTTGCAGAGATTGTATACTGTAAAACACCAAGAGGTAGCTTTTATACTATAATGTGCTGTTATGAGTATTTTCTTGGAAGTGTCCCTAGTTAACATCGACCATAATATTTCTTTTTGAATATTTAAATTTTAATAATCACTAACAAGTAGCAAAATTTTCTTTTACTCAAAGAGATGAGTGATTATGAAGACTCCAGAAGACTACTGCAGGCCTTTGGGATAAGCCTTACTTTTTTGGGGAGATTTGAGAGAGGAGATGGATGTGAAAGGTGGTCACACCATGGCAATTCTGTACTCTTGAACTAATGAACTGTTTTTGTTTTATCTGGATATGAGAAGTAGCATTAGTAAGGTCAATTTTTGAATATTTTTATTACAATGCTAAATTGTGCTTTTTAAAAATCAACCTTTTCAGAAAAAATAATTTGTGTTTTTGCATTCAAAGCAGCTCACATTCCAAAATTATGCCTCATGATTGCTTGATGCAGAAATATTGGATCTAGCTACACAGTTAAAACAATACACTAAGAAATTAGTAAACTCTGCTTCTATATCTTCCCCAAACTCCTTCTTGAGGCACTGTAACAGACAGGTAGAAAGAGCAATAGATTTAGAGTGAGCAGAGTGTGGGTGCTCTGGGGTACTTGACTTCTCTGAGGCTTAATTTTCTATTCTGGAAAATGGAAATGATACTGTCTACTTCATAAGGTGGTAGAGAGGATAAAGACATGCCATTGTGCATGTGCCCAGCCTCAGTGCTGGACAAACACATGGATTGGTTGTCTGTGCCCTTACCAAGCAGGGGAAGACTTTAGCCCAGAGGTCTCAAACCTGAGCATGCCCAGGAGACACCTGGAGACCTTTTCAGATGCATGGCTTGACCTATTTAGTGGGTCTGTGGCAGAAATCAGAATTTGCATTTCTAACAAGTTTTCCAGTGATGCTGTGGTCCCCACTCTGGGACCACTTCATTAAATTTGTTTTAATGCATATACTTCTCACTGTAGTAACTTGGAAATATAAAAATAGTAGTAGGTAGTACAGTTAGCATCAGGGAACCTCATGGTCAGTAGGTAGATTTGTATCCCTGATCATCAAGAAATACTTCTCATCTCTAATGCAGAGCAGACCACAGGAAGAAGTGTGAAGATTATACAAACAGATTTTACCAAAGATGACATCTACGAATACATTAAAGAAAACCTTAAAGGCTTAGAAATTGGAGTGCTAGGTAAGTAAATTGCTAAATGTAAAGTTTGTTAAAACAATTATCTTAGTGACACTTGATTATTTCATGGCAGTTTAATTTTAACCCTTGAGCTGGCAAGCAATTAACAAGTGGAAGAAGAGATATGGGAAAAGATGGGTGAAAAAGAGGAAGAGCATTAAAGAAAAATTAAAGTATTGGTGAGTGTGCACATATCAGGGAGGGGGATGGTGTGGTCCAGACCAGCCTGCTGCAGGCAAATCCCAGCCAGGGATCCACCCTGAACACAGAGGCAGAGACAAATCCTCCCAGCCAAGGCCCACACAGGAAAGAACTGCAGAGGTGCAAAACCTTCAGTCAGAGGTCGCCCCATAGCATCTGTGGTTTGAACCCAGGAATTGGTGTAATGGTAAGCAACACAAAAAAGGCCTCTTGGTGGCTTGCTGAGAATTAAAGATCACTGGGTGGGCAGAAAGTTGTCAATAAAGGCACAACAGGCTGCATCTGTTGCAATGAGAAGACATGGAAATAAGTTCCAAAACCAGGCAACCACAAAGGGAAATGAAATGGAACAATCTGATACTAAACCCCACCTGGACTCCCTGAACTGGCAACAAAAGAGGATATGAAAAAAATGAAGTCAGAAATAATTTTTCAGATAACAGAAGAGGATTGTGCCCATAGTACGACATGATTAATAAATATAGAGTGAAGGCAGATTAAAAACAAAAGAGGACTTGCAAAACATGATGGAATCCCAACATAGGAAATAAATGGAATCCATAAAACACAGGCAAACAGATTTCCAGGAGATTAAAAACTCCATTGAAAGTTTATGCAGCAGAATGAGTCAACATGAAGATAGAATTTCATATATAGAAGATAGGATTGCAATTAGTGAACAAGAAAAGAAAAATTTCTTAAAAATAGTAAGAGACCACAAGAAACCTATCCAAAAGCTGCTAGAAGATGCAAAAAGGAATATTATAAGACTGATTGGAGTCAATGAAGAAACAGGAGAGAGTGCAGATGACATAAAAAGAAATAATGGCAGAAAACTCCCCAAGTAGGGGAAAACAATTTGACATACAGATAAGTGAGGCATGTAGGACTCCGACTAACCATGATTAAAAAAAAAAAAATCTGCACTTAGGCGTATAATAGTTAAGATTCCAGAAACCCAACACAATAACAAAATTCTACAAACAGAGAAAAGAAACAAATCACATACAAAGGAAAGCATGTCAGAATCACAGAAAACTTCTCAACACAAACCCTCAAAGCAAGAAGAGCTTGGAGTCATATATTTCAAGCCCTAAAGGAAAACAGCCTTCAATCCAGATTGATTTACCTTGCAAAACTATATTACAAAATTGATGGAGAAATAAGAAAATGAGATACTTTCATGACAAACAGCACCTTAGGAACTTTATGAATACCAAACCAGAACTCCAAAAAAAATTTAAAGAATATCCTAAGAAACAACAATGAGGATCACAACCCCAGAAGCCCAGTAGAATGAATCCATTAGGCATGACAAGAAATTAAATGCAAAGGGGAAGAATCCAATAAAAAGAAAAAGTTATGACAAGGATAAATCAATACATTATCAGTTCTAACCATCAAAGTTAATGGTCTCAGTTCACCAATCAAAAGAAATAAATTGGCAGAATGGGTCAAAAGAAAGATATAAGAAACTCATAGACTGAAAATTAAAGGGTGGAAAACAATACTTCAGGTGAGAGGAACCCCTCAAAAAGCAGGAGTAACTATCCCCTTTGTGAATCAAGTGAATTTCAAATCAACACTGATTAAGAGAGACAAAGAAGGACATTATATCCTTGCAAAAGGAACAATCCAAGAGAAAGAGATGACAATTATAAATATATATATGCACCTAACACAAGTGCACCCAAGTATATAAAACAAATACCAACAGACATGAAAAATCAAATAAGCACTAACACAATAGGAATGGGGGACTTCAATATCCAACTCTCATAAATAGATGGATTACCTGGACTGAAAACAATGAAATACTACAACTCAAACTCTTGAACAAATGAACTTAACAGATGTTTACAGAGTGTTCTACCCTAAAAATCAAAATATACATTCTTTTCAGTGGCACATGAGTTTTTATCCAAAATGGACCACATAATTTCTTATAGAACAAGTCTAATTAAGTGCAAAGGAATTAAAGTGGATCCCCTCTATATTATCAGACCATACTGCAATGTAATTGGAGATCAATAGCAAAAGAAACATCAAGAATTTCACAAACACATGGAAGTTGAACAACACACTTCTGAATAACCAATGGGTCACAGAGGATATTAAAGAAGAAATCAGACAGTTCCTACAATTAATTGACAATGACAATAAAACATATTGGAATCTATGGGAAACAATGAAAGTAGTCTTATGAGGGAAAGTCATAGCACTGAATATGCATATTAGGAAAAGAGTGCAAGTGCAGTTAAACCACCAGATGCTGAACCTTCAGCTTCTAGGAAAGAAGAGCAGGACAAACCCAAAGCTCACACAAGGGAGGACATTATAAAGATCAGAGCAGAAATAAATGAAATGGAGACTAAAAGAATGATACAAAAAATAAACAAAGCCAATAGTTGGTTCTTCAAAAGAATAAACAAAACTGATAAACCCTTAGTCAACATTATCAGAAAATTGAAAGGCCTAAATCCATGTGGTCAGGAATGAAAAGCGTGAAATTATAATGAACCCAGCAGAAATATAAAGGATCATTATTACCTATATTCCACTAAGATGGAAAATACAGAAGAAATTGACAGATTCCTAGATTCATATGAATTATAAAGTTGAATGAAGGACTAAAAATTCTAAACAACCCAATATCAATCAATGAAATTGAAAATGTAATAAAAAACTTACCAACCAAGAAAATCCTGGACCCTGATAGCTTCATTGCTGGATTCTACATTTATAGAGGAACTATTGCCACTACTGTTTAAACTCTTCAATAAAATTGAAAGCAAAGCAATACTCCCGAATTCATTCCTGGAAGCAAGCATCACCTTGATTCTTAAAGCAGAGAAAGATCCAAATGAAAAACTAATGAAGATAGATGCAGAATTCCTTAATAAGATACTGGCAAATAGAATGCAGAAGATCATCAAGAAGATCATACATCCTGACCAAGTGGGATCTATCCCAAGGATGCAGGGATGGTTTAATATATGCAAATCAATAAATGTAATACCCTGTATTAATACAGCCAGGGATAAAGACCATAGGATCATCTCAATAGAGGAAGAAAAAGTATTTGACAAAATCCAACACACATTCATGATAAAATCCCTACAGAAAATTGGAATAGTTGGCCTCTACCTCAATCTGATAAAAGCCATATATGAAAAACCAACAACCAATATCATACTAAATGGTCAAAGACTGAAATCCTTCATGCTAAAATCATGTACAAGGCAAGGATGTCCACTGTCACCACTCCTGTTTCATATAGTTTTGGGAACATTAGCCACAACAATTAGACAAAGAGAAAGAAATAAAAAGAGGAGTTTCATTCATGACATCACCCCGGCTTGGACCCAGAGCCCTCTCTGCTGTGTGGCTGCCCGATCTTTGGGCCTCCTCTGGAGCCACACTGTTTCCAGTGCACACCTTTGATTGGCTCTGACCCAGAGCCAGCAGGGTAGCCACCCCACCGTCGTTCCCCCCTCCTGTGCTTTTAGATCCCCTGATTGAGAAAGTCCTTGGACACACTATACAGAGGCATGGGGGGCTATAAAGGGTGGTGATTGATCCTATTGTGTTCCGCATTGTATCAATTGGGATAAAGGATAGGGATTGATGTGATGAGTTGTTTTCTCAACTATAAAAATGAGAATGCCTATAAGTCATTAGAGAATCAAAGGCTGGGACACAATGATATCAGGAAGATTTAATGACCCAGAGATTGAATCAAGGGCAACCCAACAGCAAAAATAAAGATGAGGAAACACTTAAGCAAGCCACAAAGACAGACTTCCAGTCCACCAATGGCAAAGAGTAGGGCACAGTTAGGATGAAAAATCAGATAGTGAAGCTCCAGGACACTCAGAACTCACAGCGCAGGAAGTAAAAAAACTGATCAATCAAGCTCTAGAAAAATTCAAAACAGAAATTATTTCCCAGATAACCATAGACATGGTGAGCAAAATGAAAGACATGATTCAAGAATCCAGAACAGAAACTGACAAAAAAATAGATGAGATTAGGAACATAATAGAAACCATGAAGGCCCAGAATAAGAAAGCAATGGAAACAATGAAAACCCAACCTAGGAAAGAAATGGAATCCATTAAACAGATTCAAATGGATATCTAGGAGATTAAAAACTCTATTGAAAGCATATACAACAGAATAAAAGATTGCGAAGATAGAATTTCAGATATAGAAGTTGGGATTGCAGACAGTGACCATGAAAAGAGAGGTCTCTTAAAAACAGTAAGGGAGCATGAGAAATCAATCCAACAACTCCTAGATAATGCAAAGAAGAATAACATAAGACTGATAGGAATCCATGAAGTACCAGGAGAAAATGCAAATGACTTAAAAAAGGTGTTCAAAGGATTAATAACAGAAAACTTCCCAAACAGAGGGAAAGAATAAGACATACAGATAAGCGAGGCATGTAGGACACCAACTAGCCACGTTCAAAAAAATCTACACCTAGACATATAGTAATCAAGATCCCAGAAACCCATCAGAAGAACAAAATACTATAAGCAGTAAGAGAAAAGAAACAAATCACATGCAAAGGAAAGCCCATCAGAATCACAGCAGACTTGTCAACACAAACCCTCAGGTCAAGGAGAGCCTGGAGTGAGGTATTTCAAGTCCTAAAAGAAAATAACCTACAACCAAGACTGACGTATCCTGCAAAACTCTCTTTCAAAATGGATGGAGAAATAACATACTTCCCAAACAAAAAACACTTGAGAAACTTCAGGAATACTAAACCAGCACTAATAAGAATGTTAAAC